ACGTGCACATATCATTGATGTGTTATCAATACGAATGGACATTGTGGAGATAGTTGGTATTGAGTATAAGACGAGTTAAAATTGAGCTTGAGAGTTTTTCTCGATCCGACCGAGTGTGTGGTGTGCTCCCGGCGTCGTAGCGTCCGGTCGTTGATCGTACAGTCGTACACTCGCACAACGAAGTGAGTGGGCTCCTTCTTGTATTTATTGTTAGTTTGAGGCCGAAAGTCGTCGAGGTTGAGGTGAGGTCGCTGGTTCGGGCCTATTGTTGGAGAGTTGAACACAGTCGGGAACGTAGACATTTATTTTGTTTACTACAATGTTTTTGAGCATTACAGTTTAAACTGTAAATGCTTATCTTGATCTACATTTCATGATTTCATGGATATTGAAGTCAGTGTGTTTTTAGTAGTGCATTTAGAATTAATCTTTTATTTACAATGCAACAGTTTTCCATATTATGGTATCTAAATGTGTTGTATATTTGCATTGATAATTTAGCACTGCACAGTTATGATATTTGATGCACATGTGTTGAAGATACATTTGCAATGTTTTAATCCCTGTTGTATTACACTGGATTTTCTGGATTCTGGATTGTGGACTCTGGATTTTCTCCCTGATGAGGGGGATGGCGAGCTACCAATGATAACCTGAACACCTCATCTTTCCGCCACCAGTGGTAGGATTTTGAGAGGACCTTACAGGAACTGAACAAAGAACTATTTTATTTTGGGGGTTTATTTTAATTTTATTTGGGGTGCACCCAAGTGTCAAGCGCTTTAAAAACCATTGGAATTATTTAGAAGAATGTTGTTTATTCCTGTGCCAATATATATATATTTTTATTTATAAAATCTCAGTATTCACTTCATTCACTCTGGTGTTCGACTTCATTTATTACCCATCCTTTAAGAACCTGGAATACTGGTCCAGTTTTCACACACCTGACAGACTGGCTACAAAAAGATTCCAGGCATGGGATTGGTCACATGCTATAAACCAGGGCTTCTCAAACTCTGGACCACTGTCCGGATCCGGACCGAACTGCAAATCAATCCGGACCGAACCCTGTGTCCCATTTATAAAAAAAAATAATAATAAAAAAAAAAAAGTAAATTAAAGTGGACCTATTATGCTATATTGGAAAAATATATTGTAGGGCCATACCTATACAAAACATGTCTGTGAAGCTTTTTGCTTAAAATACCAAACAGTTCACCCATTGTAGCCATATCTCATACTGCTCATACCCCTCTTTTGCAGCCCTGTTAGAGAAAAGCGGATTTTGGGTCCTTAGCTTGAAAAAAAAAAAAAGGAGGCGGAGCTAATGCCTGATCAGAATTCTACCGGAGATAAAGTTAAATTCTGCTGTGATAAAACGCCATCCTCTTCTAAACCACATCAAAGATTATTTTTGAAACAGTATGGAGCTCAAATGCTTTTTCTCTTGCGGGTTTATCACAAGGTGAGTTCCTTTTTTTATTTCCTGCTTTTTAAACACATGTGCTCTACAGTACAGGTTAGCTCTGAGTGTTAGAGAGGCTTGCTAATGTAAACAAAGACGAGATTACGTCCAAAACACGTCAGGCATTGTTTCTGATAGCAATTTTCTGTGGGTCCGCTGCCGATTTGACGTCAGCAAATCTGAATCCGCTCGTTGTACCCCTGTTTTTAAAAGATTTGGGTACGGAGGAAAAGAGAGGGGGTTTTATTTTCTGACGCTGTGTGAGTTCCCCGACGCACCGGGGACACATATTTATCTATAAAAGACATCACAAAGTGCATTTTGCATGATAGGTCCCCTTTAATGTATATTTTCTTGTGTCTGACGCGTTTTGAGTATGAACGTTCATATATATTTACTTGTGTGCGCGAGCGTGACACGCATTGCAGTTAACCGCAAGTTTACCTTGACTTTCTATTGGGGGGGGACGGGACTTTACTGGCATTGATCCGGACCATTGACCTTGTATAAAATTCACAAGTGGACCTTTAACAAAAAAGTTTGAGTACCCCTGCTATAAACAGTTGAAAATGAAAACAGATGCTGATTGGTCCAGGTCCAGGTCCGGCTCCTCAGGCAGACAGGATACTGGCCTATCCAAAGGTCAAATAGCACAGATCCTCATCTTGGACAGGCAGCAGTTTGAAAGTGTGTCAGTCTGCAGCCTGTGTGTCTAACAGCATGAAGCAATAGCCGCTGACCTGGGATCAGAGATAAGCCGAACCCTGTCAACAGATTTGCTATCGGTCCTCTGAGGGAGTTGTGCGGGTAACACTTCAGACAAGACAGGACACGGCCGCTGCACAAGTCTTTGGCCTCAATTAGGAAGGATACCAGGGCAGCTGTTGAGCTTTTCCTTCTGTTGCACTATCATTACAGCAACTTCAAAATCACCGGGTTTGTGTGAGAGTTGTAGACTTTTACTAGGTTAAGTAAAGACACAATATTAGGGTCTGCAACATGACAGATACTTGAGTGCTGTCAATTTTGACTTCATTTAGAGCTGACTTCTAGATCACTCAACGTCTTTGCTAAGAAGTGCCAAGATCAACTGGTACAATCCTGGAAGAATAACAAATACATATAGTGACAGGCAGGCCTTGACTTTGAGGAGGACGGTTAATGCTTCCCAAATGAATATATGGCATTTTGTTTATTGTCAAGTCAAAAGTTCAGACCTTGAGGAGCGGTGCAGTGGTTGGCGTCTTCCTCTGGCGTCCTTTACTGCTATGCCCCGCAGGCTGTAAGGAATATAGTAAAGATGAGTAAAGCAGAAACCGCTTGCTCATTTGGAGGACGAGCACTCGCATGTAGACCTCCGGGCACGGCGGGACAAAACAGGTGTTTTGTACCAGGAATGTGTGGAGGATGATGAGATGGATGGACTTCCTGGCACTATCTCCATGTTTCCTTTGCCTTTTTTTTATCGGATTAAAGGCATTAGACTTTTGTTTTGCTGGTCTCTAATTAAAATGTAACATCACTATCTTTATAAAAAATCTTTGGAGATGTGTCTGAGCTGAGGTTTCCATACATGGTTCAGCTGGAGTTTAAACATCAAGCATCCCATAAAGTTGTGTGCTTCTGGTTTTAGACCTGTGGGCAGTGGCGGCTCCAGGGTATGGCTGGGGTATGCTACAGCCATACCAAGAAATGGCTTAGCCCCAACTTAACCCCACCATGAAAGAAATTATGTTAAATTAAGCAAAATAAAGTCCGCCAACTCGCACCGAGTAAATTGCACAGACAGCAGTTAGTAAGATTGATTTCAGTAGCCGCTTGTCTGGAAATGCCGAAGACTAGAAACGGTTTTGAAAACTTTTATCACGTAGATAAATAAAACATATTTGCTAATGTCTTCTGGCCAATCAGAATCACGATAACGGCGTAGTGTTGTTGCAGGAAGTCCCGACGGAGTATAATTTTGCGGTAGAACTTTCTTTATATATCCATGGATACAATGTAATGAAATAAGACCCCATGATCTGATGATTGATAGGTGTGTGGGCTGTCTTTCATTTTGACACACAGAACAATGGGGCGGGCTATCCACCCTTATCCACAATGTAAAGTAATTCACACAGCCTCTCCTCTCTGTGAGGAGCAGCAGGTTCAGCTTTCAGAACAAAGTAACAAAACACAAAAATTGCATACATTTTTTTTAATATGTCGTGTAGTAATAGATGTATTTATTTTTCTTCTCAAGAGAGCACCAGAATGTGTATTTTATGTTAGTATTTCAAAAAATCTCCAGACCCCCCAGCAGGGGTTGGGTTTTCAGCAACTTTTTCACCTGTGGAGAAATTGCAGGATTGGCTCCAGGTCGCCCTTTTTATTTACTACAAGACAAATGTGCCTTTTTATTTCATACAGTTCAATTTGGATTGAGACAGGGAAATAATCTAAACCTCACGCGTGGCGTTTCACTGTCAAGGGGGGCGATATGGCGTGTATGTAATTGCATTGCAAATACTGACTTGAGCCCCACCACTGTATGGGTTAGCCCTACCATAGATTACCCAACAAACATACTCTCTGGAGCCGCAACTGCTCGTGGGAAACAGACACCCCTCCAAAAGGAAAAACTAGAGACTTCCTCCACTTCTCTGCCAGAACCTCTAATTAGCTTCTGTCAAAGCCTCCTCTTATCAGCAGGGCAGCTTTGACCATGATGCTGTTGTAGGCCAACTGTTTATTACAGATTTCTTTTTTTAATTTCAGAGATTCTGTCTTTTTTCTGATTATCTGTTGCACTTAGGTTACAGCAAGATAGAGGCAAATTCTCCAAATACTTCTTCATCAGCACAATTCCAATGTACATGCATTATAATAATTAGATTGCAAGGGTTACTCCAGTCATGTTAACACTTTTAACAAGTCTTCTGACTCTCATTAACCTTTTATGCAACACGGTCTGCCTCTTCAGGATGTTACAGCTTCCACTTTTTCTGTCACACACACACTCAAACACACACAAAAATTAAAGCTTAAGTTAAGAGAGAAACCCTGGCTTGTCTATTTGACGTCAATGGTGAGGCTTTAAATACATTAATGTGTTTGTGTATGTGTGTGGAATGGAGTGTGTGCAGGGTTGTTTTGTGTCTTTTTATAAAGTTGGAAAGAGGAATCAAAAGTCTGCAAAAAAAAAGGGGCATTGATCTCCTGGCACAGTTAGGGGTCCGTCTAATTGTGACGTATGACGTGAATATGAGGACATTTTGTACATGCATAGTCCTTTACATGTCTTTTAAATTCTGTTTATACAGTTGATGCTTAACAGCAGGCAGGTACTACCCGGATGTTTTGACAGGTGCTGGGGTGTGTGTGTGTGTGTGTGTGTGTGTGTGTGTGTGTGTGTGTGTGTGTGTGTGTGTGTGTGTGTGTGTGTGTGCGTGCCGCCCCACTGAGAGTCTTCCTTTGAGCGTGAGGCAGTGTTGGAACTATTTAAAAAAAAAAACGTACTGATTTTATTTAATCTGGATTTGACTTTTGTTTGGATAGTTGGGGGGAAAGGGACTTCCCTTAAAGGCTCAGTTGTTGTTTTCAAGGTTTTCAGATAACCATCTCTCTCATGTCTATGCTTCCACTGTGGTCATTGTATTTAGAACATTAAAACTACATTGGAAAAAAAATAAACATGAATGCTTTGTTGCATGTTAGAATAATAGCATTCCCCCTACTCCACAGAACTCACTGTATAACCTGTTATAAAAACTTTCCTTAGCAACGCTATCTCCAATGAAAAGGTTACTTTTAATGTAGCTGGCCCTTTAATACAATGTATATAGTATTTTCCGATAAATAAAAACACTTTTGCATTTAATCTTTCAGAGCATGCTCAATCTTCGGGCTGTGGACTGTATTTCTTAGCAGAACACCGCCCATGATTATACATTATTTAGATTTTCCTAGGTTTTTATGATACTTTGAGTGCAGTGGAACGTGAAGACACATGCTTTCCCTTGTTAACCCTTCTGCCTGAGGTCAGCTTTGGTCTACCAATGACATGAAAGATTAGGGCCCCTGACATTGAAGTGCTTGACCCTCATATTTTCTGGAAAGGAAGGGAGGAGAAGGGGGTGAAACATTAATATGACACAGACACCACTGGTCGGTAGTGAGCTTTTGTGGATAAATGTAAATGACGAGGGTCAGGACCTCCACTAGGTCCTCATCCTCCTTCCATCCAAGTGTGTGAGGCTGTAGAGGAGAAAAACAGAGCTGTGGACATCAAAGGGTGACATATTTTCTCAAGCAACTGGTTCTTTACAACAGTTTGGTTTGCCTGTAAAGATAACAACCCTTCTGGTGTTAACGTCTTTTCTGTTTTCTCCAGCTGCTGTGCTCCTCAGTGCAGGCCGCACTCTTCGAGGAGGAGGAGCGAGGCCGCAAGATGCAGGAGCGCCTGGAAGTGGCGGAGAGGAGGAACCGGCAGCTGAAAGAGCGCGTTCGGAAGGTGAAGCGCTCCCTGAGGAACGCCCGCAAGGCGACACGCAAGGCCGAGCAGGAGGCAAAGGAGCTGAAGGGGAGGATGAAGGGTGCGGAGTGGAGGGTGGGGCATCACCTCAACTCCATCACACCGGAGGAGCCTAGACCTGGGCGATATGCAAGCACGACGATACGTAAGAGAATGAAACTTTAGTTGTTTTGACCTGACTCTTACTGCCAGCCACCTGGACTGAAAAATGGCCGTAGAGGACCAGAGACTGCTGGGCGGTCTCTGTGTGAGAGGCAAAGAAATAGAAACTGTCACAAAGAAAGTAATAATGTAGGTAGAATTTTTGTAAAGAAACGTTTTCTTATCTCTATTGGTTCCCTTGTTGCTATTATACAAAAGTGATGTTCATTCCTGGCTATCACATGTTTCCCTGGAAGAGAATAATTATTTTTTTCCGTGATTACTCTTGCAGGTGGAGCATTACTGATGCTCTGCTGGATTGTACAATTGGACACACTAGCCGCTCTGTGCTTGCTCAGGCCGTGATCACAAACACAAAATAAAGCTGAGCAGCCTGGTCTCCGAAAAGAGACAGTGTTGAGCTTTGATAGTTACAGCAGGAGATGTTTCCATAGCTAAATAAAAAATCATTTCATCATTCATTTTATGGGGTTTGATGGAGTCAACCTGTGAAAATATGTCTATACTATGTGTAACAAGTCTTACAAATAACCCAAGTGATATCTTTGGGGTTATCTTGGTCTGGATTTGGAAATACTTAATATAGATACTTAATAATACTTAATAAAATGTTACACATTGATGCAGCTTTTTGAAACATATGTAAGACAATTTGCAACACCTGGTGAACCAATGTTAAGCAACATTACTTTTGAATGATTAATCAACTTTCCCTGACCTACTGTGATCAGAAATGTATGAAACTAGGAACATTCATTTATTATTATTCAAGTTTGAAACATGAGCTTGTATATGGATATTTTTGTATGTATGTTTTTTGGATAAATATTGAACTTGGATGAACATCCGTGCGTGACAATGTTTAACAAAGACCATTAACATCTGGGTCATTGGGGTACAAAAAATAACAAATAGCCACACACACTAAGCGGATCAGCATCACGCAGAGAGTGTTAAGAGAGGTTAGGATCATAGGAGACATTGTACGTGTGTGTGTGTGTGTGTCTTACAGGGAGAGAAAGGGATGTGTGTTTGCGTGTGTGTGCATGTCTGGTCCATCAAGTGACTGGAATGTGTTTGTGTGGGCAGCAATGTTCTGAACAGCAGGATGTCGCTAAAATATTCTTCTGATTCAGTCTGGAAAACGTAAGCTGTGGAGGGAGGAGAGGAGCCGTCACATCACAAGACCACTTCAAATGCAAGAAAACAGATCAGCCACACTAAAGGCGATGGATAGAGGCGTATGCATTCATCTCTTCTGGCAAATAACCAGCCCTCAAGGAAAGCAGAACTCTTCTAATACCAAAATATTGTCCCGTTTCCTACAGAATCTGCATTGATAGAGATTAGCATGAAAGTACCACAGGTACAGGAGGAACTGTACCTTAACCCTGCAGCCAAACATGCATCCAATGCTTAAAACAACTCGTTGCTACTAGCTCGGAAACTACCTGAAATGATTGCAGGAGTTACTATAAAAAAAGAGACAAGAAGTTCAAGATTTGCGAAGGTCATGAAAGAGAGGTCAAATTGAGTATTATTGGCCTAGCAGTGGAAACGATGTCATGGTGGCGAAAGAAACACCCCCACAAGCCGGAAAAAAAAACCAGGAGTCATGTTTCGACCATTCAGGATTTATTCAAGGACAAAGACAAACAAATCACAATCAGTCTTTCTGGCCTGTGTCATCATGGTAACTCTGATATGTGCACATGATTGTCGAAGGCATCTGATATACAAGCCCCATTAACAAAGAGTCATCTTCATCAACGTAGAACAATTAGTGTGCTCTGAGGAAGGAGGGTTTCGTCTGAGTGACGGGGGTGCACAGGATGGGAGTTGTGGTCTCATGCAGAGAGTAAATACAATACGCCGGCTCTGGACAGGACACCCACAGGGAGACACTGGGTCCTTAACAACAGCAAGTATCAAGTTTTAGTCCCACAAACAGTTTTCAGAGGTAAAGCTGCTCTCATTAGTTGCATTAGCAGCTGCTAGCATAGCAACTAACAAACCTAGCAACTCTTTCCCTCCATGAGAGACAATGCTAATATTGAGACTACTAAAGTGTTTAGCAACAAACTTTATCAAGTATTCGCTTAACCTACATATGAGTAAATTCTGTGTCTAATTTCAAGATACCTTCAGATGTAGAACTTAGCAAACATAGCAAAGTGTTAAACTCAGCATAACATCCACAGCTAGCTAAGTAGCCTCAGTTGAAGCCATACAAGCTAATAGCTTCATGCCCTTGTTAAGTAAATATAGTCATATTCTATGTCATGAATAAGGCAATATTCCATGTCATACAATTCAAATGGAAACATCTTTATTTTAATAATTTACGTTCTTGCCATATCATTCATGTATGCAGGAAATCAGCTGGAATTCCCTCTTATAAGCAGACGTTTTTGTTCTCTTGATAAATACTAGTTAGCCCAAATATTTCCACCTATGGAAACTGTTTGTGGAGGTGAAACTCTGCTACTAGGTGAACTGGGATATCTCAACCTGTGTAAGTCTTTACATAATACAAATACTAACATCGTACAAGGGCATATAAGATTATGCAAACACTCATGGTGAAGTTGAATCTTTGAAGCACTTCTATCAACATGCATGTGTTTTTTTATCTTTTGTGATAGCATCTTGGTAAAAAAAAAAGGCGAAAGGGTGGACGAGCGCCGCTCCTCCTTAACAGTGTGTGTCTGATTCGGTCACAGCTTTGGATTTCTTCCGTTATAATGGCAGAAATGACAGCCTGAGTTCAGTTAAAGATGCGATCACTTGGTGATTGACGTGACACTGCAACAGTGATGGCGTTACACGTGATGTGTAGCTCTCAGTCTCGTGTGGGAAAGTATACTTGACACCTATTTTAACATTAAACATTCTATAGAGAATACAATCAACTTTCCTCGACACACTCACTCCCTCTCACATGCTTGAACAGCAAAACATCGGTACATTTTATCTTGAAAATTATTATTCATATTCACAATCTATTTACACGAGAGATGTTAAGATTCATTCATGAATCTTTAAACAGCAGACATAAAGACCTAGAGCAGCCTAATACTGAACCCTCGTCCTGTTGTAAACCATTTCCATTTCCAATTTAAGAGCATATTCTTAGTGTTTGTTGACCATTCAATAATATATTTTTTGCTACATAAAAAACATGTGCGACAATTTTAAATGGATTTCATTCAAAAACAATAATGCACTTTTTTATCCCCCTAAAATGTAAATGTTTTATCTTTATATTTTTGAACTATAGGTGCTGAAGTTTCCTAATTCCCCCTAAAATATTTTGGCGACACACTGTAAAAAAGAATGCATAGCAATCAAGTGGTTTGTATATATGGTTACAGTGAATTATCCGATTAGGTGATCATAATAAGTAAAGCCCTTACATGGTTTTAAGTTCCCCTAAGTAAAACAATATAACTCCATGGACTCTCTTTAGAGTTGGACCCTGCTCAAAACTTTCACATTCAAAATATGTTTCTGAAAGGTGAACTGTGTCCATGTGCAACGTTAACTTTCTCTATGACTGCACTTAATTAATAACAAAAATAAATCAGCCTAACAGGCCTTCAGTTCACAACTAACCCTACCAACATTAATGAACTAAACCTATATTTTGACTGGATTAGTTGCCAGGAAAACTGCCATTATGTGTCTTTGCATCAATGCCAGTGCAATATTCACAATGTATGAGGTGCTGAAGAAAACATAGATTGGATAGCATTCACACATGTCTTGTCAGAGTTTGTTCTGGTCAACTTCAGTGGAACTTATCACACACAACGACTCAACCAGCCAAAAAGGACTTACTGTTTTTTTGCCATAAGCACTTTGCAGCACTCTGTGTAAAATAAAAAAAAAGGTAAATGGCTATTAGGTAAGGAACAAAGTGAATACATGTTTTCTCCAGATGAATTTGCAGCTGGAGTTCAGCCCTTAGTTTTAGTCGACTTGTGTCTCGAACAGCTTCATATCTGACTTAGTTCACAATAAAGGGATCAGAAGAATTGCATCATGACAATCTGATGGGTGAGCATTCAACATTGTACAGTTCTGTCTTAACTGAAATTTCCACCAGTAACGATAGACTGTGAAAGCTTGTGGAATCATGAGAAGGCTCCATCAAAAACAGCTCAAGATAAAGTCAGTCCGTCATCTCAAACCTAATAATCCATTGAACAACAACTACTAGCCATCTCTGGACCATCTCATTTAAGTTGGAGAACCATGCTACGCTAACCAGGATTCCCAAAAACTGCTCTTGGATCAAGCAACAACCAACTAATCCTCACTGTTGTTTTGGTAGTTCTGTCCAATTATGTCTAAGAGCTCTGGCGCGCTGTTCAAGGGTTCAGGATGTTATTAACAAAACAAAATGGACCAAAAATGCTGATGATCAAATAAAAAACACCTTTGAGTCTGAGAGTTCAAAACGTCTAGGTCCAAGTTTAAAGCTGCCTTCACATGACAAACGGTAAAAAGGCTCTGGGCTGGCGTTGCCGTTGTGTTTCAATGGAGTGAGCTTTACCGCCCAACTAAGGTGACGCTCATGGCTCGATAATGTTGCAGTGCTGAAAGTTCAAATGACTTCCACTTTGACCTTGATTACCGCTGACCTTTTGACGTAGAAACCATAGAAACAGAACTTAACTAGCTGTTTCACCGTACGACCCTGCACCCAACCTCGCGATGAGCAAATGCTAAAAGTGAAGCTGGAATCAAGTATTTAAATGACGAGTCATTACAACACTTAAAAATAAGGACACATCTAACAACGTAAGCCCCAGATCATATCTGTGATGGCTCGGTACCTGGACCAAATAACAGGAAATATATTTCCACCAGCTCACAGTGCAGCCGCAGCTTTCCCTGAGCACTTCTGAACTGGGTGCAGCTTGACGATGCTAAAGGGTGATATCATGGCTTCTCTAGAAGGCGCAGGACCAGCAGGCAACAGCTTCTCCATCTTGGATTTTCATCACACAGGTCAAATACTCTGTGGGTCATAGTAAGTGAAATATCATATGTTTTGTGGCCCTCTTCAAACTGCACTGCGCTGCTTGTAAAGGAATACGAAGGCCAAGCTAACTTGTAGCTCCTTACATTCTCAACTGGAAGCAGAAACAAAAACGACCCTATACTAAACCTGCTGCATGCTCATCATATAACCTGTATGTGTGTCCCTTAAAAGGTGATTGTTATAAAAGTCTTATGAAGAAAAAAAAAAAATAGACAGATCAGTATCTTTTGGACAATAAATAAGTCACACAATGCTCTGACGTCCTCTGTGATAAACACAAGAGGCTCACCTGACGTTTGTAGCGCTTACTCATGGTTCCACATCTCAACAGTCGTATGGTACGTTTAAAGCACTTCTTAAAGCACAAACAAACACAAAAAAGCCCATAAGAACATATAAAACACCTAAAGATGATATATGTAGCTTTTAAACATGAATGAATTGTTGTCCCATTAGCTGCTACATTTGTAAAGTTATTTAAGCCTCTGAATTACACACAGTCAACAGGTCACACTTGGCTGCCAATTGTAGTGTTGATTAACCTAAATTTGACAATAATGTGCTTGCTTTTTGAAAAGTTACATATACCACCTTTTACATTTACATTAATATGAAATATAACAATCCAGTTGTCAACACTCATACCTTATTTGGAAAAAGGCTAAATAAAGTGGTGCAGGAAAGACCAGATTAAAAAAGGAAGTTGAATTTGAAATTGAATAATATGATAACACGGCCCCACCGTCAACCACCAATCACGGCTCAAGCTTGTGCCAGCGACGCCCCAAATAATTTACCAGCAACCAATTCAAGCTGGGCTTCCAAACATCCTCCTAATGTTTGTCGCCATGTGTCGCTGTGGCTGGAGGAATCCAACATGGCGTCCTGTTGGGGAAGCAGTGGGCGTACAGTATCAGCGGGGTGGAGGTAAAGTCCTCTGCTCTCCTGGGAGCAGGGCGGGGAACTTGCTGGGGGAAAAGCAGTGAGGAGAGGGAGAAACAAAGTCTTCCTCCGTCTCTTTCTGTCTCTCTACCTCACAGTGCTGTGGCCTCCCAGCTAGTTCTCCGCGGGACCTGGCGTCACTTGGTCTCTGTGAGCATCGGGGGGGTGACCGCCGTGGGGTGTTGCCGGGTCAGATCGGCCCCGGCAGCTGGAGAGGAGGCTGCAGACGCCAGACTGCAGGGAGTGACCGGGGCAGCAGCATCTGAGAGAGGAAGTTGGCAGAAATGTTTTTTAAAATGTAAATTGACCCTTGGCTAAGCTACACCTTCTTCATTACAGTAACTGTGCCTTTCATTCTGGCACGGCACATGAGGAATATGCCATTTCAGCAGATTTGTCCTCTTAGCATACCTGCCAAGACTAGGCTGTGAACAAGAGGGAGATTTTCTGCACTATGAGCAAATGGCCGACCCTCAACCACTCTGCCTTAATTTGAAGTTGTGCAGGAACGAGTCCTGAATCCCGGCAATGAGTTAGCATTTTAGCATTACCTGTTCCCTCCTCACTAAGTGAATGTTTTATGTCTGTGGTTAACACAAGTTGAGATATTCCAATGTTTTGTTCTCCTCAACGTCACTAAATACCCCATCATTTTGCCTGAAGCTTCTACAAGTGACTAAATAAGACTTCTAAACTCCATCGCGCCAAACGCGAGTCCACCTTTAGCTTAGCAGAGGCAGCCATGCGACCATGATGTAGTTCCTTTATAGCCTAACGTTAGCTTTTTAACTACTGGAGATTGCATTTGTATATGTGGAGATTATCTTGATAAAGAAAACCTGTAAGTATTGTAAACATGTGTTTACCACAGATCTTGTTTTCTGCCATATTCCGACATCTAATGGAGAAATGCATTCACGGTTGCTAAACTAACATTGCTGTTATGTGGATGGGGTACATTTGATTTAGTACACATTTGTTCTATAGACTTTCTGGTGCTACTGATACTAATGACTTACACTCACTTTCTTTGTGGGGAACTGCTACGTTGTTTTCTGTGTTAGCGGCTGTGTTGGCGGCTGTGTTAGCGCCCTGGCTCTGCGTCGCCTGGCCCGTGTTTTGGCTCTGGCCCGTCTGGCTCGGCCTGGTCGGCAGGTTGGAGGCGTCCATGCTGCTCCCCATGCTGCTGCCAAGCTGCAACCGCCTCATGTGCCGAACCACGGCGGTGGCATTGAACGCTTGCTGGAGAGGGAAATGAAATTGGATGATGAAAAGCTGGATGTGCCATTTAGACCCAGAGACCAACTGTGTGAAGAGCAGTTCTTAAGGAAAGTGTTACACCCTCCTCTGATAAAGAAGGAACTCCTAGCATTACGATGGGGGAGTCATTCAACTTCTAAGAACACAGACACTTGTTTGAGGACTTGTACTGGAGTAAAGGAGCTAATACCACCCAAAAGAAATATGAGTAAACAAACCCTCCATTTGCTCTTGGCGAAGTTCTTTTTGATCTGCCGGCTCACTGACTCATGGATGTTCTTGCAGAGTGCTGTATCCCCGGAAATCCTTAAACACACACACAGAGAAATTCTCATTCTCAACCTTTCTGACTGTACATCTACTACTGATATTATGTCTTAGTGTTATTCTGTGTGAGTGTGTTTCTCACCAGGGGTGTCTGAGTGCCTGATCGCAGGTGAAACGCTTTTCTGGATCCTTTTCCATCAGACTGCCGATGAAATCCTTGGCTGGAAAACAAACATGTTTTAAAGAGCCATAATAGGTCAGAAATAAACACCAGGCCAACTTGAAAGAGCCATTTGAAAGAAATCTTGATGAAATCTATTTCAACTCATGTTAACCCATGCTTACAAAGACAACGCTGATGTTTAGCAGCTATAGGATTTACCATGCTCTTCATCTTAGTTAGTGGACCATGAAGGTATGTAAGTCAATCAATAGTTGTTTAGCCATTTTGAACAAATTGCAAATACTCATGGTGGCGCAAGAAAAATAAATCAGACGATTACACTATTCAACATGAATGTCTGTATAACATGTATTTATGCAGTTTTTACAACATATCAGAAAACCGTAAACCCACACACACACACACACACACACACACACACACACACACACACACACACACACACACACACACACACACACACACACACACACACACACACACAAAACGAGGCCACGCTTTAGTAACTTGTGCGCACGCTTTATTAACTCGTGCGAACGAGAAAGTAAAACGTGGCCACGTTTTATTTATTTTTCTCTCTATGAACCCTCCAGGGCTCCGTAGATACAAAATACCACTAAACCTTTTTTTAATCACGTTTTTCAGATGAATTACAGTTAACCCATTGCCAAATAACTAATATCATGTAAGACATCATTTGGGTCAGAATTAAGTGTCCTGGTGGGTGAACACAAGCTAAGACTTCCTGCTGATGTTTACTTATTTCCTTGCTAACCTATGAAGTTATACTGTAGCTATCAGGATATAAAAGGTAACTACATGGACAGGATAAAGAGAGACTCAAAGTGATGTTTCATGCACAGGTTCAGCAGTGAGATAAGAAGCTTAGGAGCAAAGGATAACACAGACTAATACATTCATAAACATCTGAGTGTATGGGGTGCTGACACGCTCCTCATTTCCATACCTGGTGCATATGTTTGTGAAGTGAAAGAAGCCGGGTCTAATCCAGCACTAACATTGATCCTGTGTTTTACATTACCGCAGCCTTTCTCAGCTACTCTTGACTGATCCTCCTCGGCATGAAACAGCAGGCTCTTTATTAATGTTTATTTGCTTTAATTTAGTTTTATTTCCTTGTCCAGTCAGCTAATGGTTTTCAGTATTCTCCCAGAAGCAGAGCCCTCCTGGGGTGTTTCAAAGTAATTTGGTTCCACCTGAGGCAACACACATGCTTGCTCAAATGCAGAATCAATATTAATTGACTTCAAGTAGATGTTGCAGCCTGGGGATAATATTTTAGGCCGGTTGAAGAGCTCGGACCGTGCTACGGTGGTCATGGTCGCGGTTATTGATGACCCCGAGAGGCTCTTTGTCTCTGTGTTTCTGTCTTATTCATTTTGACGTTCCCCTCCGAGAGCTTCTCCGCCGTCGTCCCATCACTCCATGGAATTTCCTCTCAGTTTCTTTTTCCTCAGGCCTTTATCAATATTCTGAGATGGATTGAATAAATGCGAGACATAGCTCTGTATTCAATATTTTCAAGGCTCATGTTAGGATCTAGCAGATGGAATATTGATCAAAAATGATGCCTTGATTAAAAGTTAGCAGTTGCTTGAGTGACTTCTGCTAATCAACCTTCAAAGACTAGGTGGGCCACGTCTTGCTCCACTGCACAGCCGTATGCTACTTCATCTGCAAATTGACTCACATTTCAATCTTGTTCATAACATTAGTGCTATAAATATTTCTATCCATTTAAAGTTCTGATGGAGAAATAATGATTCCATGTTTATATGGAGTGGTTTCACCAAATTGCACTGTGTTTCATTGAGGTCTGTTACGAAAGGCTGATGAATGACGTAAAAATATTGTGGCACGTTCACATGCAACATATGAAGCCATATTAAAACAGTGGGTAGATGTTGAACAGCTTTGTATTGGATGTCTGCACCTGCCAGAGGGCCATAACACAAAAGTAGACATGATTTTATAATAATATTAATAAAAATACATGGGATTTTTATAGCGCTTTTCCTAATGCTCAAAGACACTTTACATAAAATCAGAACAGAAACAATACAAAGAAAACATAAAACATAAACAGTCCTAATCTATAATGTGTGTATGTTGATTTTTTCTTCAACAGGGAGGATACTAATAAATAATAGAATATTTCATGTCAAAGGTTTGCCTTCTAATTTAAATTGTAGATAACTTGATTTCAGACCATCAAAATATTAGTCTTCGGCTATGTCATATTTTGGTGGTCTCTATTACAGCTCAACATAATAATAATAAATTGGATTTATATAGCGCTTTTCTAGACCCAAAGACGCTTTACATTACGAGTAAGGTCGACAAACAAATCAAGAACAAAAACACAAACAAAAACAAAAATAAAAACAAAACAAAAACAGAAAAGCAGTCAGGAGGATGTCGGTTCAGAGGGGGGAGGGGCGGGTTTAAGCATAAGCAGAGTTGAAGAGGTGGGTTTTGAGACGGGACTGGAACAGGGTGAGGGAATCAGACTCACGGAGGTCTTGGGGGAGGGAGTTCCAGAGCTTCGGGGCTGCCACAGAGAAGGCTCTGTCCCCGAAGCTCCGGAGTTTGGCCTTGGGGATTGAAAGCAAACCGGCTGAGGTGGATCTGAGGGACTGGGGTGGTTGGTAGAGGATGAGGAGGTCATTGAGGTAGGGGGGGCCAGATGGTGGAGGGCTTTATAGGTGAGGACCAGGAGTTTGTAGTGAATGCGGTGTGAGACGGGGAGCCAGTGGAGTTCTTTGAGGACCGGGGTGATGTGATGCCATGATTTGGTGTGGGTGAGGAGTCTGGCGGCTGCGTTCTGGACACGCGCTGGAGTCTGTTGAGGGATGTTGTGCTGATGCCGAAGAGGAGTGAGTTGCAATAGTCAAGGCGGGAGGAGATGAAGGCGTGAATGAGTCGCTCAGCTGCGGGGCGGGTGAGAGAGGGACGGAGTTTGGCGATATTGCGGAGGTGGAAAAATGAGGTTTTTACAACTTGGCGGATGTGGGGGTCGAGGGAGAGGGTGGGGTCGAATATCACGCCAAGGTTGCGTGCCTGGGTGGAGGGGGAAACGGGTGCCATCGATGGTGAGTGTCAGGTTGGGGGTTTTGCTGAGGGTGGATTTGGAGCCGATGAGGAGGAGTTCAGTTTTATTGCTGTTGAGTTTGAGGAAGTTGTGTTGCATCCAGGATTTTATTGCAGTCAGACAGGATTCAATGTGTGTGAGAGGGGGGTTGTGGGGGGATTTGGTGCTGAGGTAGATCTGTGTGTCGTCAGCATAGCAGTGAAAGTCCAGGTTGTGATGGCGGAGAATCTGACCAAGGGGGAGGATGTAGATGGTGAAGAGGAGGGGGCCGAGTACTGAACCTTTGGGAACACCTTGGGTGACTGAAGCTGTGGTAGAGGAGTGATTGTTGAGGGAGATGAAGTGGGATCTGTCGGAGAGGTAGGACTGGAGCCACCTGAGTGCAGTACCTTCGATACCGATATCCCGGAGTCGGGTAAGCAGGATGGTGTGGCTCACGGTATCGAAGGCTGCACTCAGGTCAAGGAGGATGAGGATGTTGAGGGAACCGGTGTCAGCAGAGGTGAGGAGGGAATTGAGGACTTTGATGAGTGCCGTTTCTGTGCTGTGGTGAGGACGAAAACCAGACTGAAGGGGTTCAAAAAGGTCATTTGTTACAGTATAAAATACAGTATATAACACAAGATTGTTATCAGTGTTGGTTGTATTTCTTTTTTTATTACTGTCGACAACTTGCCAAATACAAAATCATAATGTGATAATTAGTAGCTAATGATTGTTCAGTTATTGACACATCCACAGTTAAGATTAGGTTTGGTTTGGTGTTCTCAACTATCAGGAGCTAAAGAGAAAGGTTTATTTTCCGACTTTTGGACATATTTCTCAAAAACAATCAACATTGACATTGTGTTTTGAGTGACGAGCTGGTGAATCAGTCTTCTTCTACTCTCAAAAAAGAGTTGCCTTAAACTTTCGATCTTCTCACATGGTCACGTTCAGGGCTCTTTTCACATGGAAAATATGTCTTTTTAGTAGAAATAAGTAAACACATTGAAAATCCCTTGCTGGAATGTAATCCTATAAAGGTATTCTCTGGTGGATGTTTTCCTTTCAGGGCCTCCCTTAAGCAGAGTTACTGTAAGCAAAGATTTCACAGAGACACTTTCTCACCTTTATATTCACAGCTGGCAGCGAATGTGAAATGAGGATTTTCAGTTTTGAGACTTTTCTAAACTTTCAACCTGAGATTTCTAGGATTTGTAAACTGGCAGGATATTCTATTTGGCATGACAGCCTTTGGCAACACAGCCAACTTCCACAGTAACAAACCACAAAGAGACTTAGAGATTCAAGATAATTTTTGACTTTTAAATGACCTATTGGAAACATTATTATTTCACTCAGGAAACGTTACTTACAACACATGCTTGTAAATTAATTTCCCTAGCTTGTTTTTTGTACTTTAGTCTTGAAATTAGAGTTACCCACAAGCTGTTTACACTCATCATTGCAATACAACATGTGATTACAATGCTTTTCACTTGTAGTTTAGTGACAAAAGGGCAATCAAAGCAATTAAAACAAATACTTCGCAGATGGTGTTCAAAACTAATATAATACTATATTGTTGCTAAGAGATCACAGATGTAGCCACCTTAAAAATAAAACGTATATTTGTTTATAGGTTATCTATATGCCAGCTTGCTAGATTAAGCTTTTGCTTTGCACTTCAAGCTAATGAGCATAACATATCATTATATTTGCCCTGTTTTTACAATGAGTGACCTGTAGAATGGCATTTTTTTTATTTTTAGTGTGATTATACATTTTTACTGAACCAAACATATATGTGGACATCAGAATACCTGCAAACAGAGTCTTGAGAAATTCCCATTAAGTGCGCAGCAACATGTCAGTAACTGATGATTGATGGGACTGATGCATTCAGAGGCCTCTCTGAAAAACCCAGCGTGTAGACAGGTGTGTTTAAAATCCTGTCACTCAGCGGTTCAACTTCTCTTATTTATATTCAACACTTCTGCATTTGGATGCCGCAAGAGAGAGAGGGGATGAACACAATTAATGAAGCTATCTCTTCAGGATTAAGCAGTGCAGCAAACGCTTTCACAGCAGACGCCTGTACCTTAAATGGATTCTGGCTGTATAATATTTCGGCATCCTCAAAACCCAGCCCATTTTATTTCAGCAGAACAATGCCTGGAGGATAAACAGTCTCTTATGCCCTTCAGGCGAAGCTTATTTCTTTTGCATTTGTTTCAATATGATTCAGTCAGCACATAACATCGAGCGGTGGCAGGACGATCAGAATTGGTGGGCTGGAAAGTCGCCGATATTGTAACAATCAGAGGAATGGATGGGTTAGGTGAGATGTAGCCTTGTGTTCACGCTGTTGGTAAGAGATAAGACAAGGCCAATTTCATATTTTACCCTGCCGACAGCAGCAGGCAAGTTTTTATCCCTGCTGTTTGGTTTAACTATTGCTCATGTGTCAGAAGTGAATTCCACTTGGCAAGATTCAAAAACTTACAAACTTACTTTCTGTATGTTTGGCTTCCTTGAAATACTCTGCTTAATAAAATACTGATATCTTAGTACTCTTTTAAAAAGTGTTTTAGAGCAAAAATTCCCAAAAACATAATAACATCTGCATAAATTAGTAAATAGTTATAACAATAATTCTATTAAGGTGGTGATGTGTGTCATTTTGTCATACGTTGGTCAGTACGCTCCTGCATGTCAAGCTCTAAGGTATTCTTAGGTATTATATTGTGTTTTTATAGGATAAAGTTGCACCTTCTATCTCTGAAAGGGTAAAATACACCCTGACTAGAAAATCAATGTCATAGATTGTGTATCTTAATGCATCTAACTTGTAGAATTTACATCACATTATTGGATAGAAATTCAATCTTAAAAGGACTTAATTTGGGATGTGGGGCTCGGTAGCCATGCAGACCGGGGTTCAAATCGAGCTGGGCCGAAAAATATTGTTATTATTGGGGTTACTTGAACATTGTTTGGGGTCCAAAACACATATTTTCTGTATAATAAAAACACTGTTTGCAAGATCAAACCATTGTTTTAATGTTTGCAAACCTTCTGACGTTAAACCCAAATGGGATCTATCTTAAAAAGTGGTGCACAATGTAGCCTAACTGTCATTGCTACTTACAGTACAGTCTGAATCAGATCTATTTTCAAACCCAGCACCCACGGTATGTATGAAGCAAATGTACCCGCGTCCATCTGTGCGCCCACCTGTTGGTATAAAATGAGTAGTTGCTAGGTACATTGATGACAAATTGCTATTTTATGGCAGCAGGAAGTAATTGCCCCATTGACCAACAAAAATCTTAAGCAACTGCACACAATATAATGTGCTTACACTCTGCCTGTTCCACACAAAAGGACACGCAGCAGGCCCCCTTCTGCATTCGTAAATAAAGATTCGGCAGGTGAAAATAAAAAATGTAATGACATTATTTATTGCAAACACAGTGCAAGCTCACATAACTTAAAGGGGACCTATCATCCAAAATGCACTTTTGCACGTCTTTTATACATGAATATGTGTCCCCGGTGTTCCAGGGAACTCACCAAGTGTCAGAAAACACAACCCTCTCTCTTTTCCTCCATACCCAAATCTCTAAAAACGTGCGCCCTGCAACGCGAGCTGATTATTATTGAATTTCGTCTGACGTCAGAAAAGGGGTGCTCCGCCTATATGGGCAACTCTCCACCTATCAGGGGAATGAGAGACCGCTCGAAAGCGCTGGAGACGCTATAGTACATAGGCCAGGCCTGTAAGTGGCGCTGTAGTCTGCCACAAAAGCAGAATCAGCCCTCGCAAAAACAGGGCTGGAAAAGAGCAAATAGAGCAAAATGAGGCGACATGGCTAAAATGTGAGATTTGTTTGGCATCATTTTAGAGAAAAAAACTTACACAGACATGTTTGTTTGTATAGGTATGGCCCTACAATATATGTTTCAAATATAGCATGGTAGGTCCACTTTAAGCTCAGAGAGACAGGATGAGATTCAACACCCCTGCAAAGCATTTGGGTTAAACATGTGATTCCATCTATAATTAGGTTGACAGTTGCCATTCTGCTGTGTATTGTAAATATAATATTTCTAAGCATGTTTTCTTGGATTCTCACTCCTGTCAGGGAGGCTTTGAGTGCTTTCGCTAAACCTGTCACAAAACTCAGCAGCTGCAGCATTGCCCCTGTTCACTGACAAGAATGGAAATCATTTCGCATTTCATTACGTATTTATGAGTGTATCTCTTATTTATTTATATGTATCAATGCTTCTCGTTTTATGCCGCTGTCGTCTTGTGTGTCGAAGATCCTCAAATCACATCCCTAGTATACGTTATGGGTCTCCCATGCTAGCTGATACTTAGGAAATCACGAGTGTAGTCAGTGAATCTCAAATGCAATTGCAATCTAGAGCAAAATGTTATCCCATTTCCTCAATCTGATGCAGGTCTCCATTGCGGTATTCATCAAGGCTGGAGAAGAAATTACCCCCATTGTGGTATAATGTGATGGAATTGGGAAATCATTGAAACGCTGTTGTGTTCTCCAGCTCGCCGTCGACACAAAGGGCTAAATCTCTGCTGAAACTGTGAGCCTGCAGCAGCCAACAACGATTACATGTAAGAAAGAGCAGGCGATGGACATGCATGTTGTTAAACTTCCTGTTTGTTTGTAGATTGTATTTCTAATGAGAAATACAATACCTGCAAGATAGATGGAGCTAGCTGAGACAATACTCACTGAAGCAGACCCAATCTCTTCCGTTCACTCAGGCAGTGAGAAAAGCCCACAAGCTTTGTGATTGTTGACGAGGAAGCCAGCGGGATTTCTTCAGGATTATAAGCCTCTGTTTTTTCTCTACAAGCTGACCCAGCAGGGCCCTGGCAAAATGGCCTGACCCTAAACGGAGACTCCTCGTTGCGGCATGGACTGACCTCGGAGCAGAAATCTCTGTTGTACGGTTAAAAGCCTGGAAAAGCTACAGATCAAAAAACCAGAGCCAAACATATTATTTAAAACACTTGGCACTCATGCTATTGTTCTCTAGGATACATAAGCTTGGGAGCATTTCAGTATTTCAGCAACATATCTAAACTAAAGGATCCAGTAAGAATTGTACCCTTGCAGGGCTTAATGGCATGATTTATTTATGATATGACTTATTTGAGCAACATTTCTCAAGCAGCGGTTGTGCTACGAGGTTCATAACGAGTACAACAAACACACAAACAATAAGAGAGGTTCATAACCAAGATTCATCATCAAGTGCTCTTTAATTCTATGTTATTTTGTGGAACCAAGATCAAATAAAATAAAAAAGAAGACAAATTACAATATAAGGGGAAACATCTCTTTGGTTTTAAAGAAAATCACTACATGAGTTCCTTCAGATATAAGTGTGCTTGTTTGGGGAGTTAAGAACAAAATGTGCTATAAGTGATCCTCAAAAAATCAGTCGCAGAGACGCTTCATCACTTTCACTTAATCAACTCCTCTATGATCATACATTTAAAGCCCGTCTTTGTGTAATTTGTAGGTAATTGAAACATCTTCTGAAAGGATTTTGATGGCAGGCATTTGTATTTGTATCAAAATGAGGCAATTCAGATGTACATTTGGAAATAATGTGCATTTCACATATGTTGAATGTTATTCCAAAGGGCTACAACCAATTGATCTATATATTAATTATTTTTGATTATATAAAAAATATGTTTCATCCCAATTTCCAAATATTTTCAATGAACTGTTCATCTCGAAAATGTTATACAATTGTCAATCAAACCAACAGTGCAAAACATAATGTTCATAATTTATAATAAATCACAATCAATTGACACAATTATAACATTAGGAATTTTTTTGTCAATTATTTTCTGTTGACTTTCATGCTAAGTGACACAATTTGAGTTATGCTAGTTACACAAGGTCTTAAACTTACGGAGCCCTGGAGGGTTCATAGAGAGAACAATAAATAAAACAAGGCCACGTTTTATTAATTTTTGCGAACAAGATGTAATTCGTGGCCTCAATTTAAATAAAACGAGGCCACGCTTTATTAATGTGAGCGCACAATATACTTTCTCATGGTTAGACACATCGAACTGCCCGATTACTACGCCACATTATTAGTTTTATGAAGAAGATGTCCGGTCGCCAGGGCGTGTGTGTATGTTTGTGTGTGTGTGTCTGTGTCTTTGTGTGTATGTGTGGGCATTTGTTTTCAGAAGATATTATGATAGTGTTGTTCGTTCCGGCGCACTCCGACAGCATTTAGCACTAGCTTACATCGAAATTAAGATTAAACGAACTTCTTTCACTTGGGAATACATATATGGAGTTAGCCAGATGTGTGTAAATTACTGTTCATGGTAATTTGAAAACAAATGCCGGTGTCGGACACACACATACACCGAACACAACACTCATCATGTAGCATT